TTTGTGGGCTTTAGCACAGGCCACAGTTAGCCTGTCCGAGGCCACGCCTAAGGCTAGAACACCCATCTTCTTTCCGCAGACGGGCAACCACCGGAACGACACTAACGCCTTCAGTTACACATGCTACACTCCTCTTGAAAAGGGGTCGGCGGCACCCGGGCGAAGCCCTTACAATAATAGAGCTACTAACTAGTAGCCTTTACCGACCTCTTCCTATAGCGGCGTACCCCCCTGCTAAAAATTAAGAAACAGAGCGAAATCCACACACCCGTGCGGCCTATGCGGAGCAAGACTCACTATGCGCGCCAAAAGCAACCACAGGATTGAGCGTGAAAGCTTCGACAGACCTCGAGAGCGTCGTGGGGAGCCGGAGGCTGCCGGAGAGCATCTCGATGCGTCCTTGCTCCTAGTAGCGATGCCCTTTGCTCCGTTCGTAGCGTTCTCTTGCTCCTAGTAGTAAGGCCAGGAGCCCCTAGTAGCGTCCTTGCTCCTAGTAGCGATGCCAGTCGCTAGTAGCGATGCCCTTGAGTTAATGCAGTTGCTTCGTTGCTTCTTGGGCACTTTGAAGCCGCCTTCCACTTCGCAAAGGGAGCAATTCCATGGTGCCAAGGCCCGTGATACAGAAGATCTTGCAAACGAGGTAGCTTTGCAAAAGGGGCTCAGCTGTGGCTCTTTGCCCCTGTTAACCAGCGGAAGCGGGTGGAAACCGTTGTCACCGGTGGCGACCTTGTGTATGATTTTTTTCAGCTGCTGCACTTCTTCGTGTCTTGTTGTCTCTCTGTACCAAATGGCTGAGGAGAGAGAAGGCTTGAAGGTTCACAAATGCCTGGCTGGTTCAGCGCTTTTGCGACACAAGAATGTCAAGCACTGTCCCAGCCTGACATCGAGCTCTTTCAGCTTGCTCAACTTGCCAATGTTCGGTGGCAAGTCCTTTGAAGTGCTGTCAATGCGGCAGCACAAACCTATCGAAAATGGCATGTGCCTGCAGCACCTGCTGCAAAAAATGCCCTCATACCGGGGCCCCGGTATCCCTCCCTCTACATGTCAGCAAATGAAAGGCTGTCTTCTGCTGGAGCGTGCAGAGAGCTGTTGCTTCTCCACAAATCACACGCTAGCTAGGTCTACAAAACATCCGCATAGAAGATCATAGAAGGGCAACTGTCATCCCTATCAAGGAGATCGCATGACTGACTACAGATTCGGTCTTACACTTCTCCTTTAGCTTGTTGTTGTGCACATACAAGATCTCCAGACCTGCATGGCACATTAAGTCGAGTTAGGCTGAACCATGGTGAACCTCACCAGTGTCAACAATAGCTTCGTCTTCCAACAAAATTCGTTTCAGAGTCCTAGGCTCTCCAAGTACACCACGGACTCTGGGAGAACCTCAAGGGCATTGTTTGACACCTCAGCCGTCGAGACGCAATCGTCAATCACCCTGGAGCCATTCTACAGTAGCATCTTAGAGCCCGGCATCAAGCCTAGATGCGAGAGCGAAAGCGATGTGGGCGAGCAGTTGGTGTACAACCCCACGGTGAACCCCCAGAGAAAAACGCACAGTGTCCGTTCAAGTCTTGAGTGAGTATTCACAAGGGAAATTAAGTTGGCAAGGACGCTATTAGGTTGGAGGCTACTACCAGGAACAAAAAGCTACTAGGAAGATCTCTACAGACCTTCACCCGCTTTGTGACCTCACCCACAGCGACTACCTCCACAACTGTTGCTACAGATACGTCGCTCGCTTCCGCAGAAAACAACTCTAGTACTGTAGCTTCTTGCTCCTAGTAAGAAGGCCAGGAGCCCCTAGTAGCGTCCTTGCTCCTAGTAGCGATGCCAGGAGCCCCTAGTAGCTTCTTGCTCCTGGTAGTAATGGCCTCCAACTTGATGGCCTCCACCTCGTAGCTTCTTGCTACTACACTGACTAGAAATGTCGGCAAAACTTCCATTTGGTCAGGGGAGCACTCATTTTCTCTACGAGTACGAGGAACACGACCAAGGCGGAGGGAGGCGCGGGAGAGGATTAGGAGGGAGTGGAACATCACCCTTTTTTCATCCCTCAACGGTAATCATCATACATGCACCATACATCACCATACCATGCTATACTATACTGGCAAGCCTGCAGCATCCATTCGACTGGTTGCATTCACCGGCCTCTGCAATCGTGTCAAGCGTCCGATCTGAGCTGGGAGAGAATCTCCCGCGAGGCTATTTCCTGCCTCAGCACTCTTGCAAGTTGCCAAGGACGGGATCTGCCTTTACTGTCCCGAGTCCAGACTTGATCAGACTTGAATGCGTGCAACTACTTTCACCATGGTAACACCGGTCACAGGTCTGGCTTAGTTGGACTGGTCGCCTGCTGGGTCAGTCCAGAACACCTAAAGTGTTGGGTCAGCTGAGGCTCAAGACTAAGGCACTGGCCACACTGAGCTTTACCAACCGTCGAAGCTTTGGAAGATGAGGCCTCACCAGTGCATGTCAGCTCGTGGCTATCCTGAAACACAGGAAAACGAAACCAAACGCTATTCACTGGGAAGTTGACACATAGGAGAGCTTGTTGTAGCTGAGGTCTAACCTCGAAACAAAACCCTTTGCCAATAAACATGGAGACACAACGCACACCTGATTTGTTTGCCTTTTTGTTTTTCCTTTTGCGTCCTTGAGGACCGCTTTGGTCAACAAAGCGTTCACAATATCTAGAATTACTATATAATATGTTATGTTATGTTTGCCCCTAGCTGTGGGCTTTGATTGTCCCTTTTTCTTAACACTTAGACCTTGCTGCGTTCTTTCCTTGCTCCCTGACTTTCTTTATCGTTCTTTTCTATTGAAGCCTTCTTCAAATTGGGCTTAGTGAGACTCTGGCTCTTCCAGCTGCTGAAGTTCTCCAATGCTCCGAGGCAGCCGATCCAACCTCAAAGCTGATCCAAGTTTTTCGGAGGATTACTGTAATGGGCCTTGAGTTACCTATCCGAGGGAACCTACTAGGCCCATAAAATATCAACTGTCAAGTGTCATTACTGTACCAAATAGACTAATTACTTCTGGGAACTGCATCGGTACCAAAACTGTTCAATCGAAGAAACTGGAATCTTCCACTGCATCCCATCAATCTTTGCAACGACACAGTCCGGCACACTGCTGCAATTAGACCGATTCCACCGAAATTTGGCATCGTGCTCGTTGTTTGACAGGTTCAGTTCCTGCAGTTGTTGCAGTTGGCCTGACATATGATGCGTTGCGACAACTGTCTATCGTGGAATGTGTTTTTTCTCCACATCCTGGTCATGCAATAATAAGCCAGTTAGACCAAAGCTGTCTGGCAGGAAGGTGAGCCGATTGTCAGAGAGGCACACCCCTGCACTGTCACAAATGTTCTGACAGGTGTCCCCTATTTGGTGCTGAGTGCAAATGTAGCATTTCAACAGACACCTTGCAGCACTTCCAAGAGGCCAAAACTTTCGGGCAACGCGGTCAAGCCTTAGGACAAACCACTTCAACATGTATGTGATTATATGGGATTCCGAAGAATTCACCGATAGCGTTGACAAGTACTGATCCTGTTTTGCCTCTACAAAAATTGTTCTCAAGTTTTGCAGAATGTTCCACGCAAATAAAGGCACAGAACCTATCAATCACTGCAGCACATTGGTCAGTGGAAAACGTTGCCATTGGAGCTGTCGTCTGGTACTGTTGATGCGAACTCTTCCTTCTTGCATGCGCGTTGAAACCATTCACTTCCTACAGCACCCCACTTCCATCGTTGAAAGTTCACAATGTGGCAGCATCGCACCATCCAGCTGCATAGTGTTTGTGTGTGTGCGTATGTATCGCACAGTGATGTGTGTGTGGTCACACTCTGTACTCAGTGCAGCAGGGGACCACGCAGGGTACATCGTCGCCTGGTCAGCGAAGCTGGCGATGTATCAGTGAAACGCCATTTCCACGTACCTGCTTTTGTTTGTGGAGTTGACAAGCTGTTACCCAACTCTTCCGAACAAGGGACCGAGTCACTCTTTGTTAAACATTTCTTTTGCGCTGACTTCTCGCCATACCGTTGTGCAAGTCAAGGTCTAATTGCTGTAAGGTCAAGGGCTAGTGCAGCGGCGAATCAATACTGAAGTTTATGTTCATTCAGTTGAACTATATATCTGAGTGTGTGTCAAGCCCTGATCCTATCCTTCACTGCTGGCTTAATTCACATCGAACTATTTAAGTGTACAGTCCTGCAGGGGGCAAAGGGATCTCCAGTTGTGGCCTCTGCCAACGACGCTCCACACTGAACGATCAGGTAAACGTACCTGCAAAGGTGGTGCATGTGGCGCGCATTATAAGTCGCAGCTGGTGACCCTCTCTCCATTCTTTTTGCTTGAACCGTTGTCTAAGCCTAAGCTTTTTGCTCCACTCTTCCGTAAAGGGCGAATGTGAGCGTTCAAACACTACCGTTTGGCCGACTCTTCACCTTGCCGTTCCTTCAGCCAAGGTCTATTTGCAGTCATGTAAAGTCCTGAAGCTCTGCCAACGACGCTCCACACTGGACGATCACGTAAACGTACCTGCAAACGTGGCACCTGGGCGCATTATAACTCGCAGCTGGTGACCCTCTCTCCATTCTGTTTGATGAACTGTTGTCCAAGCTTCTTACTCCACTCTTCCGTAAAGGGCGAAAGCGTTCAAACAATACGGTTTGGCCAACTCTTCACCTTGCCGTTCCTTCAGCCAAGGTCTATTGCAGTCATGTAAAGTGCTACTGCATCAGGGCTACCAAAGCTGACTCTTGCTCTTGCAAGCTCTATATCTAAGTGTGTGTGTGCGTGCACGCGAGCGCACGCGCCTAGTAGTTTGGTCCCTTTCCTTGACAACACGTCACGTTGTGGCCAGTAGCAACACCACAGTTCTGAGATGCATACCTTCAGCACGGAGATCCAGGATTGCGAAGTCTGCCAAGTCCTCACGCAGCTGCGCAATGGTCACTGGTCACAATGGGAGGACGGTGAAAAGAACTTGCACCCCGCGAAGAACAAGAAGTATGACGCAACGCTCCTTAAAGTGCCTGGCCCAAAGAATGCAAAACTCCCTCCAGAACTATCTGTCCTCCACTGATTCTTTGCCCTTGCTAGCAGGTCTGACCATTTGACGGGTTCAGTTCCAGCGCCGGTGTTCCACGCGTTTGCGCTGTTCAGGTTTCTTTTGGGCCGGAGCGCAGGAGAACGCACTAGACCGCACAAGGTTGTTCTTTCCAGGACACGAAACGCCGAATTTGATGCGCTCAACATCCATTCGGCTTTGAGTTTGGGTTGGCTCATGACCATCACTACGACCTATCGGTTTTAGTTCCCCGGTGGGTCCGGTGAATAACCGCAAAGCTTGGGATGAAGACTTTTCGGCTTTTCAGGATCCTCACAAGATTGAGGCCTTTTGTGACAAGCTCAAGACTTTGCCTTGCTGCGCCGGGAACTAATACGCATCAGCACGCTGCCTGGCTTGAAGCCAAAATTCTCGAGTTAGCGCATCAGGTCTTTGGTTGTCAAAAAGGTCAAACCTAGTTGAAGCAGAGGGATCTGAGAAACGCAAAAAATTCGTGGGGTCGGTCGGCTTGCTAAGAAAGAATAAGTTGAGACCTCGGCCCTTGCATCCTGCTGACGGATACATTTGTTCTGCAGTAGAGCTACGAGAGGTATTGCTCCAGCAATTCTGAGAAGTTGAAGTAGGGCGTGGTTGTAGCATGTACTTGAGATGGTGCAGACACCGAGTGGAAACACGACATGGAAACGCTGGACCGAAACCAATGTCGGTAGTAATGGCCGAAGTCTATCAAAGTCCTTGGCTGGACTTCACTTTGACTTCCTTCATCGTCAAGGAGAAACCCGGGAAGAAGCATGGCAAAGCGACACCCCGAAACAATTATTAGCATAGCCGATAGTCTTCCTTGATGGCCTGGCATTCTTTGCGCAGGAAGAAGGCAACGAAGAGCGTCTGAGTTAAATACCCGTTGAGGAGCTTGTGGCCGCTTTTGCGAGAAGGGGTCCTTAAAGCCACTTGCGATGCGCAGACCGCAGACCGAAGTAGTTTTCCAAGCGCGCGGTAGTGACATTAGACTAGATCTTTCCGGCAGGGGGGGAGCGCATTGACACGCAGTCTAAAACCTTCATCATCACTGAGAACGCTGCAGTGAAACTTAGACTTGGAAGAGCCTACCAGCATTGGGGTACCACGTTGCAGGAGAACCGAGCAGTTGACATTGACCGCGCCGCCAGGCAAGCCCATAGGCCATAGTAGGCCCGCGTGTGAAAAGGTTACACAGTCGCCCAGAAGCCACACTCTCAAAGTCAAGAGATGGATCTTCCAGGCGTTGACCATGCCAAGGTTGCTCTATGCGCATGTGTGGGTAAGAGAAATGTGTGCGCGTGTAGGCATAGTGATGCGTTTGAGAAATGGAGCCAAGGCAGTCGGAAGGTTGTCACGCCATTGCTCAAAAAGGCAGATGCGCGGGGGCCCGCAGTATAAATAGGCTCATTGTCGACCAGCTTTTCAGCCTTGCGCATTAAGGCGCCAAAGCAACCTGTTGCCGCGCAGCGGTTGAAATGCTTTGGCACGTTACTGCAACAAGGGCCTTTGTCCATGCGGCGGTTACTACACGCAGCACATGCTTGGGTTAAGGCCTTGCAGGCGTGCGAAGATACAATACTTGGGTAGCGCAAGTCTTGCTCGCAAAGGAGACTGGCTTTGTTTGGGGTAGGCAAGGCGCCACCTGGCAGTGGTCCGCCTCCTCCAGAAGTATGGACTTGCTCGCGCTATGCCATTACTTTTGACAGCAGCGAGCACTCGTCATACGCGCACACACAAAGCGCATGGATACCGCATCTCTTGTTTGTCGTGAGGAGTATCACCAGCGCAGGAGGTTTCTTTCCCGTATCACCACTAGCAAGGATGCGCACAGGTGTTGGGGGAGCTCCTTCCGATGTTCATTTCCAGTCAACAGGTGGAACAGAGGCTGGGCTGATCGAAAAAGAAGTAGCTAGCTTTGGAGAAGGGGGAGTGCTTTATTGCAGCACCGGCTTGTGCTTGGAACGGCAGACAGGAGACCTGATGGCCTTTTCAAAATCAGCGCCTTTCGGTCTAAAGAGTCATGGTAGGAGCGATTGTAGGAGCAGCGGGAGCGTCTTGCTTTCAATGCTTGACTAAAAAACAACAGGGTCAAGTTACAGCTGGTTGGCAGTCTTGCTGCTTTTATGTTTGAGACCTTGGGAATTTTGGCCGTGACAGGGGGACGCGGTTTCTTCGAACATCCGCAGTTCCTGCTGTGGGTTGCCAGATCACCCGCCGAAGCTTTGCAGGGCACAGACTTGACTGGGGAGTTTCGTAGCCAGATGCAAGGGTTAGTTTAATCCAGAGGAGTTGAATCGACTGGTTGCGACGGTGATCGTCCAAAACGCTATCAAACTCTGCGCAAGAAGAAGCGAGCCGCGGCGTTGCTAAAATCCTCTTGAGGAGCAGCTGCCGAGTTTGATCACGAAGTGGTCCAATCATGAAATGGAAATGGACACAACTCAACATTACATGCGCCTGACCTTTCTAATGCCCACCAACAACATGTCCCAACATGTTCCCAAAGTTGATGGGAGCAATGTCCCAGTCGCTGACACCTTCAAGCCTTCCAATTCTTGCTCTCTGTCACACCATCACAGCGCAAGAACATTGAAACAGGGAAAAACCGCCCTCAATTACTCGAAGACGTGATCAATGATATTCAGATTCAGTGATATTGTGGGCTGCAAGCGATGCAAGGAAAGCCGCGCGCGATCCCTCGCAACAAGGATGAGGAGACCAAACAGCGCAAAGACTTTGAAAGTCATCAGAACATAGGGTGGCTCCTTGCCTGCTGCTCTGTGCTTTTATACACACCTAAATGCCGGAGGGGTGGGGGTAGTTGCTTCCAGATGCATGAAGCAACAACTCGCTCATTTCACTTGGCCCAACTCATGGTTCCACCACCTCCAGTCATCACGCGATCTCTGACCCTTGCAACCGCCACCAGAAGAGTGCCAAGCCGGGCCAAGCCCTACATTTGGAAGCGAGAACAGTCACTTCACTTCGGTTGCTTGCGCTTCTTTTCCATCATCTGCGTCCACCAGACTGGTGAAAAGCACCCACTAATCCGAATGCGATGGCTTTGCAGAGATCCAGGGGCCTCTTCGCATGGATATGGCGGTCGTATTATATAACTCCACCAAGTCGGGACTCAAACGGTCCCCCACCAGCTCACCATCAGCGAGAACGCCACAGCATCAAGGTACAGAGGAGCAAGCCATTTCCATCCAGGCGCCATTGTTGCTTTACCCACCGGGATGAAGGCAGAACTGGAAAGCTCGTGGATGACTCAGCCATTCTGGGCCTCCTTGGAACCTGCATTATGCCAAAACTGGTAGTGTTGGCAGGCCGAATGGTCGGAGCAAATAATGACTAGCCGAGCTTGCACAACATGGCCAATCCAATTGGTTCCATCAAGTTAGGGACTGAGTAACGCAGCTGAACGAAAAAATCCTAGCAAGCAAAGGTCGCTCTCTTGCCTTTCCCCCAAGCAATGATTCTTGCTTCTTAATTGTTAATTACTACACAGGAACCTGCACATCGCAAGCAATTGTCCTCGAAGCACTCAACGCTCGCTGCAGTTGCCAAAACTCGTTCCTGGAGGCATGGCTTTCGTACCCGGACCAGATTCTCCATATGCATGCATGCACTCAGTGATTCAGAAATTCTTTATTCTTTGCCGTGGATGGCTATGCTTCATGCAAAGCAAATGCCGCCATGCTTCAAGCTCCAGGCAGCGGGCTTCGAGTGCCTCACAGCAGCGCCAAGCAAAATTCGCGACTAGAAGGTGCTTCTTTGCCTGTTGACTGCATGTCCCACCAGGTCGAATGGAAGGCACAAGAATCGCTTCCATGGCGCGGACACTCCAGTTGAGACTAAGTCGACTCTCTGAGATACGAAATGCGATCGATGCCAAATGATGCCAAATGCTGTCCGAGCTGTGCAGCTGCATGTAGCATCATGCAGCTGCACCTTACTCCATTATTGTCATGCTCTGCAAGGATGACTGGCACCTTGCATCCTGCTCCTCGACACTGTGGCTTGACGCACTGAAGCGAATCAACGAACTCATGGTGTGCACAGGGTAAGCCAGGTTAGCCCTCTGAACATCCTAGCTTAACGAATAGCTATGTTTCAGTCTCAGTGCGTTGTTCAATCATTCCGTTTGCTGTGAAGTCTTGTTTCAGCCGCACCAATTCCGTGGGAAAACTCCAGTCACCTTTCGGGACCGAAATGCACGGCTTCGACTGCGCTCATCGATCTATCCCCGGTCGTAAAGCATTGGGAACCAGCCATGATCGCTCAAGTGTCAGAGCCGATCGAAGAGTTTGAAGTGGAACTCACGATGAGTGGTTCATCACCTCGGTCAGAAACGTGCCGAATTGATGGTCAAAAACATCTGGCACCGTCTGATGCAAACAGAAATAAGAACCAAGCCATCTGGGTGTCCACTGAGAGGCAGCGCTACCTCCCCATATCCGCGAGGGTACTTTTCCCAAGTCCTCAGTCAAGAATATGCCAGACTGACGAGTGTTAATATGCAGCGTAACTCAATATGACGAGCCGAAAAAGCGAAACCAAGCACCGAATATGTCAGGTTCCCTGTTTCTTCTTCACCCAGCGAACCCTGTCGCCAGGGTATCCAATTCACGACCTTCGATATGTCTTATGCATTCACTTAGCTCTCTGCCAGTCAGGGGTCAACGACATGGCCTAAGACTCCATGAACAGCCGCCTTTCTGCTGCATGGCTAAAGTGCATTGCTCAAGACATGCAGTAAGTTAAACACATCGTTTACCTGTTGATGAGGTCTAACCCGTGACTCTCCGCCTCCAAAGAATGTTGTAAAAACTCAAGGTATAGACTAACAAATTGAAAGTGTTGACAAAACAATTAACAAATTCACTATGCAGTTGTGCTAGCTGCTAGCATTGTTCACTGAGTACTATCTGATTTGAATCAGCTATTGAGACCCACTCTGAGCATCGAACGACGTCCGGCTCCAATGCAAGTAGCAACAAGTCTGGCCTCGGCATCAACAAGGTCCGAGACTGATCTCAAAGAGACCTGCTTATTGTACATCTATATACATGTTTTGGGGGTAGCAAGACAAGTTAGTAATAATGAAGCTGAAGCTACAGTAAGTAGTAAGAGAAGTTACTACATGCAAAGACACAGAGCTTGGACTCGTCAAGGAGGCTTCTCCCACTTGAGGGCGAGAGAAGCTTCCTTGAAGAATCCTCCAAGTGATTTTGAGGGATATTTAGCATGTCATGGCCTCCAACCTAGTAGCGATGGCCTCCAAGCATGTCAATTCTTTCGGTCTTCTCAATCTGTGCTACCAGCTCATTGACTGTGAGAAGGTGTGAGGCTCAAGCAGGTTGACATGCTCTTCACGAAGCCTCAAGAAATCCTGGCATGACAAGTCCTTTCGTCAAATCAGCCAGGTGTCGGTCGCTGAAGTCGGCCTCCTCACTCGTCCAAGTCTGTCCTGCCTTGGGTCAAACTGAGATGCTTGGAGCTGGGAACAAGCAACTGCTGTGAGGGTCTAGCTATTGTTGGCTGAAACGAAACATGCTCTATGTGTGTATACATATATCCTATATCTATATATATATATATATCATATATCATATCATATTTCCCGAGCTCCGCACTCTGATGCAAGGAGCTTCATACTCCTTCCAAATCTCCAGAACAGGGGCCAATTCCTGAACCTAAGAATGGTCAGAAATGGCTTCTTCATTCAACTTGGAAGAGTTTCCTGGCAAAGGCCTTGTTGTCCGGAATCGGTAAGGTCAGCAAACCAACATGTCCTGCGCGACAAGGAGATTTGCAAAAGCCCAAATTTCTGGCAAGGAGCTGTGGAGACGACTCTCTATTGCAAAAGAGACTTCAGCATCCATGTCCGTCAGCATTTCCCAGAAAAATGCAGAGTTGATGCGTAAAGGACTCCTTGGAATGCCATACGTCCCAGAAAAGACTCACACGGAGGCTAACGCCGAGCACTTGGCTGAGGTTTGCTCTCTGTCGCAACTTTGACCTGCGAAAGTGTCTGAGTTAAAAAGTAGCAAAAACGAAGATAAGAGACCCTCAAAGAAGCCCTCAACCTACAGAGACGATCAAAGACCTTGCTCAGACTGTCAGACCAAGTCCAGTCGAGCAGAGTCAAACTCTGCATGGTCCGCCAAATGCGTGCTGAGCTGCTCTACTGCGTGCCCCGGAATGAGCATGAACAAAAAGTTGCCCTCCTGCCTTGATGGGATGAGCTATCTTTGGCTTCATCGGTTTGCCCTGATGGATGAAACATGACGCAACAGCGCACAGCACTGTGCAACAGCTAGCTCGCAATGCAGACACCGCAGTGAAATAAAAGAAGTCAACTGTCTCCTTCACCAGAATCAGGTTTCTTGGCCTCTGTTCCAGAAAGTGCCAAAGTGCAAATGAAGGAAAATGAAGTCCCATGCAAATGCGTTTTCGCCAAGAAGACCTTCATCTTGCGTTCTCCATCATTCCCCCCTAGAATTCCAAAGGCTTTCAGTTACTCCAGTGGCCCTAGTGGCTTCCCCGTGCGACCCACGTCCGAAACGCGGACGGTCATGTCATCAACCTCAGCTCACCGCTGGGCGGTTCGCTGCACGAGAGCCATTCGCAGCAACAGCGGCAGGAGGTGGCTCGTCCCCTCAGTCGCCCAAAGCATGTGCTCTTTGTTCTTTGTTTCCAATAGCGATGGCCTCCTACCTACTTGCGATGGCCTCCAACCTAGAAATAGGGTCGTTCTCCATGAGGAAATGTGTATTTCTCAGGATCTGTTGTTTTCTCAATGGTAAACGAACCTCTCGTGTACGGCGGGGATGCCATGCAGTGGTTTTTTTTGTTTTGCTTTTATCAAGTGCCAAAGGTCTCTTGAGGGGTTCATGGCCCTGCCAAGCTACCACACCGCATTTTATAAATGCTCATTAATCGGCCTTTAGCGCTTGCCCCACTGGAGTAAGCTAGTCTCTTTGAATCAGGCTTGGAAGGAGTGGATTGCTATGCACGTAGCAAGATGCGTTGCTTCGTGGCTTCAAACATTCCTTTAGATTTATACTCCTAGGCCTCTAGTCGAGTAAAAGGTGAGAAAAGTTGACCTTGCTCATTCATTTATCCTTCTCTTGCCGGTGAGCTATCCAAATTGCTCACTTTCAGGAATGCACAGGCGCAATCGCTGACTTGACAAAAGCCACAAGCTTTCCACGTTTGTATCCTGTTTTGGTCTAAAATGCTTCAACAATGTTACAATAGATGAAGCCAATCTCGTAGATGTTGGATTGAGCGCCAAGCCTAAATAGTAGGCTCTTCCAGGAAATCGATGATCCCCTCCTTGAGGCACCAACAGCACTGATTGTGTGGCCGAAAGCAGTGCTTGGTCAGATGAGTGCAGTCCGTTTTCAAGCTGGCCATGCAGGGGTTCCAAAACGGCTTTGTGCAGCTGCAGCCTGAAGGGAGAAGTCCGTCAGGCGTGACTCGACATTTTAAAACATTCTGATTGGCTGTGACTATTCTCAAGATTTGCACGGTCTTTACATCCTGCGCACCAAAAGCTTGCGCTCCTTTTCTTCACATATGGCAAAATGCACATAGTTTGGGCTACGATGGCTTTTGTAGCTCTGCCCTAATCTGTCCACATTGTGTTCATGGGACTTTCTTGGCACATCCCGCCCACCTGAACAAACACTCTTTTCCTCTCTCTCTCTCTCTAGTGTCTTAGCTGCATGGACCGATCAGAGCATCCATTTGGGATTCAACGACTCAGAACTGCAAATTCAGCAGCTCTGGAATGAGCAAGGCTGGTTTGCAGCTCCGCTGCAAACCAGGTTCGAGGTGCTACCATCCTTAGCATTCAAGAAAAGAAGCAGGCATGTCTGCACCTGCTCGTCATGCTTGATGAATTAGTCCAAGGATTCCACCTGTGTTTAAAACTTATCCAATTATTTAGGTTGTGGATGCATCCTGTCTTTCGAATGCCGTCCACTGAGCAAAGTCTTTGTTGTGCTCATGAGCAAACTGCTTGGCCAAAAAGGCGGAGTAACAAGATCAGAGTCATAACTTATCATAACTGTCATAACTTATCATAAAAACGGTACCATTTTGGTGTATTTCTGCTTTTGGGAGGTAGTATAGATCGCAGATTGCTAAGACAAATGACGGTGACACATAGCTCCTACGCCACACTACCAGCTGGATTCCCCGCAGCTCTTAATAGCCTCTGCCAACACTGGGAATCGAACATGTACATCATGTAACAAGCATAATAACAGGGGAATCCAACAAACACATTAAGCTGTCGGGCTGGCAAAACCAAGCCATCGCTCTGATAAAGAAGCTCAGCAGCTGCTGAGATGCAAGGCCACGAGATTCACAACGGCAGGGACCTTGGCCACTGTTGCCGATCTCTGCCCAGGGTCAGCGACGTACGCCTGACAGGGGGATAGAAGCCATAGAGAATCATAGAGACAAAGTGCAAAACTGCTTGCTATGTTGAAGGCTTGCACAAATGCACATTGCATTTCAAGTCTGGCAGTCGCACGCCTAGTCTTGTGCAAAGTATTATGCAAGCTGTTTTTGAGTCGGATTGCAATTGATGTTGCGCGCATCCTCTTCAACGACCTCAAAATGACCGCTGGCATGCTGCACCAATAGATGGAGGGGATTGCCCATCGTCTCATTCACAGCAAAGGCAGGTCAACAAGAAGGTAGTGTAGCTGACCCATGTGCAATTGGTTTTATTGAGCATGGAGCATGGATAGAGCTCCCCTTATCAGGCCCTTATCGTTTAATAAGGTACCAATGGGAGGTTCCCCGGTGACTTTGTAGTCTGATGACGTATGTTGTGACTGCTACAAACATGATTCTGTTTCGTGTAGTGGGTGGGAGCTGGGGGGTGAAGTGGGTGGCCCTGGGGCCAAGTCGTTGTGGCGCATGATGACGGACCTTTGTTTCGAGCGCGACGTACGAAGATGACTTCGTCGTAACTTCCGGAGATCATGTTGCAAAACTGATTGCAAAATCCACCAGAGCACCGCAATGGGCTAGCAAGTCTTTTTGAACAAGTGTCCTAGTTTGATGCATAGGCAAAAAGCTATGCGGAGCGTGCGAAGAGGGCATTTGATGCAAGTCAAAGCGGACAAATCTCTTGTTAAAATCCATGAAACCGCAACAATCCGCGACATAGCTTGACTGGGGAGTCCATAAACGGGATTAAGGTGTCGTACTTCCAACATGCATGACTGCAAAAGCATCACGCTGTTCACAGAAACTCGGTCAGGCTCAGCGTTCTCAACTCAATCTTCAACTCCTCGGACTGCGTTCTTGTCGGGGAACCTTCCCTCCAGCCTCACTCTTGAGCGCATGTAAGCCGCAAATGCTGGAGGACACCTCTCTGCCCTGAATCACAACGAATCCTGGAGCTGCTTCCCTTGTTTGTAACAGGAATTCTCATGCGAGTGTAATGGCGATTTCCCAATTGCCATAATCGTGTACTTCAGGTTCACCGTCATTGTTGCAAGTTGTGCGAGTTCTTGTAGAACTGCACCATGGCTACATCAACGTTTACGCTGTCGAAAGAGGCAAATTAGCATGATACTCGGCAGCCGTGATCCGTGGACCTTTGCAAGCTTCCCGGCAATGTCATGCAGCAGGGTCGACGTGAGTATGTGTAAAGGAGACCAATTTCAGAAAGTGCTCAGGGTTGAGCATGGGGCATCTGGAGCATGAATGGTTCAGGTGCCGACACCTGTTCCTTTTCTTTCCTCTCCATAACCTGCAGCTGTCAGTGCATGGTCCTCAGCGCTAACCTGCTCTCTACAGTTCCTAACTAACTAAGGCCTCAGGTAATCAAGAAGAAAGTAGAAATATAAAACTAAGATCGTTCAAACGTTGTTGCATGAAAACCCGAAGGTTTTCACACTGAGTCATGTTGCGTCACACCTTTTCCTTGTTCGTGATTATGAGAGGATATGTGTTCTTGAATAGCCAGGTGGCTTCTTTTGTATCATTCATGTGATGTCATGTGGTTCGATGTGTATGTGTCTCTCCGGATGGTTTGTCCATGTTTTTCCAAGGGACTTTTGCCTCGGAGTGGTAGTCACCGTACCAGGATGACCTTGCTGAGTCACTTCGCCTTGGCAAAAATATATCGCCAAACAAAGTATATATATTTTTTAATGTTGCTCATCATGGTTCTTTAATGTTCTTTATGGTTATATAGTTATTTGTTTGATTTTGTCCTTGTCCATCGTTCCAAGTTAGACCTTGAGACCTTTAGATCTTTCCGTTCTTTCCTTATGTTCAATGCACCAATCCGACAGTCGCCTATGCCCTTTTTGTGGTCAGCAAACAAACAAAACAGAATGTGAACATGTCGTGTGCTGTCTTGAACTTACCCTGTAGGTCGGTAGGCTGTCTACCACAGGAAGCGGCTTGCACGGGAGTCAAATACTCTGACTATAGATCTGCCATGGCACAAAGCCAGTCCAATTTTGCGTCCATGCGATTGCTGTCGGCCATGAGCACAGCCAGGTCCAACGCCTGCATACCAACTCCATAGAGTCTAAGACATGCGATGAACGCAAGTGCAAAGAAATTGTGATGAAGAAGCGAACCCCACGCGCCCGCCTTCGCAGGACCACGCAACCGAAACCATCCATCTACCAGCTCTTGTGGTGACAACGTTCCAGTCTCGTCCATGTCCAGGAGCCTGAGAACTAGACGTCTGATGTCACACGAAGCGTGAGCACTCAGCAAGCTCTCAGCAGTGCAGCACTCAACCGACCAAGCCTGAATAAGCTCTCGGCGTCATTTACATCGACGTCGACTGCCTCAGAAAAGTAGCTTAACTACACAAAAAATATCAAACATTATGTGAGACAAATATGAAAGTGTCCAATTCTCCGCAATTGTGCCTGGAACAGTTCTCGCAACTCCTTTGTTTGCAACATCCGCTGGAATTCTTCAAGAGTAAGCTCATCTTTCCTTGGTATACCAGAGGTATAGTCAATATCTCCCACAGAGATGTGTCCAATGATTTTCATGATCCACGCTCTGCGACGAGGTTCTCATTGAGATTGCTTTTTTTGAAAAGAGAGAGAACATGCCGCACAACATAATTGTCTTTGTCCTCCTTTGAGAAGGTGGAGGCATTCTCCACAAAAATACCTCAGGACAGGTTTGGCAACAAACCGCTTCTGAACACGAGATGAGAGTCTTGGCTATTTGGAAGAGTCTGGAACTGAACTTTCCACAACATCTTCTTAATTTGCATGAACACCAACATTTATCTCCCATCCACCCCCCGACCCTCCCACCTTCAAGCTAACAAACACACATCTTCTTCCTTACAAAAACACATCTTCCTCACACGATCGACCTCATCAAGGCCTATTCTGAGTCGCCTTATGAACAGAAAAACAAAAAACACAAACACAATCTTCTCTGCCCAGTCTGCCGAGCCCCAGTCGCTGGACTCACTCCGACAACGACTCGAAAACCCGTTTGGACATCCCGAGGGACCGGTGATGACGTTCATCATCGCCAGGACCGAGAAGGCGACATAGACGGTGACAGCTGCACCCATCCAAGGAGAGATCTCCTGCATTCGGACCCCGTTCTGCATCCAATTTCAATGAGAATTGCTCTTTCAATTTGACATACAGTAACAGCAATAGGAATTAAATTCTGATCCAGATAATTTATTAGAAACAAATAGGCAAACAAAGACAGAAAACATCAGAAAACTGGACTGCAATTGGTGAAAGATGCTGAAAGATAAATGCCCGCTGTAAATGTTGGGCATCTGGATTGCACGCAAATCACAGCCAAGGCACATTCATCAACGGGTCTGCTACGTTTTTCCAGTCTAGGCCCCCGGTGATGCACATCCAGAGGGTGATGGCTGCAGTGCCAAGACCTGAAAGCGACTTGCGTCTCGAAGTTGATGCTTCGTGGTAGATGTGGGGTGGGGTGGGGTGGGGCACTCAGTTGCTTGACCAAGTCTGGCGACAAGTGAAGAAATATGTGCCATATAGTCTGGCGACCCGCGAAGGTTTAGGACAGCGTGACTCAAAACGCGTCGATCAATATGTCCGCAGTTTCAGTTTCGGTGGAACAACCGAGGAAATTTGCTTGAGGCGTTGGCCCGAACGTGGCCGGAAGTGTAAAGAAACTACACCTGCAAAACGCGTGTGCGCCAAAAAAGAGTGCACTTTCTGCTCTTCCCCATTCTAAATTCCACCTTACAAGTGCTGACCCTTGTGAAAAATGGGATGAAAGCACATATGATCCAAACTCTCCCAAATGAAAAAAAATGGGAGGTTTTGAGCACTGTCCACTTTGGCAATGTGCAAATCGCACAGGGTCACTATTAGCGGCGGTACCTAGTTTTTGCCCTCCTGGCACACAATCTCCATAGCCCACAGAAATTATTCCAGGGGTTCAGTTC